TTACAAAATGATGTATAGATGGTACATAACCCCAGACAAACTATCAAAAATGTTTAACAATACATCAAATATAGTATCTGTTGGAAATATGGAAGGGAAATAGGTACATTCTATCATATGTGGTGGTCTTGCATGAAAGCTAAAAAAATTTGGACATTAATACACAATATTATCCAAAAAATGTTGGCAATAGATATAGTTAAAAAACCAGAATATCTACTGGGTTTAATGGACAAAGAACTCGAAAAGAAACATGGAAAGCTCTTGCTATATTTGATAACTGCAGCTCGGATTATTTATGCTTCATGGTGGAAGGAAGAAAATATCCCAACAATTGAAGAATGGACTATTAAGACAATGGACTAGCTCAGATGGCTAAACTTACGGGTCAGTTAAATGACAAGAATATGGATGATTATAAGAATGATTGGCGACCTTTTCTTAGATATATGGAATTATCACAAAAAATAACACTGTGTATATAAAATGTAGTTGTCAAATATCTAATTAGAGAGAAATATAGGAGATATTTATCGGCACTAGTAAAGATGTGAAAATAATATATTTGTAGATACATTCACCATTCAGACAGTTAGAAACCCCACTTTTAAAATGTTTTCTTTTCTTTTTCTCTTTTCCTTTCTCTGTATTTTTCCTTCTTACACGTTTGCATTTGTTATTTTTAATTATTTTTAATTATTTTTAATTATTAAAGTTTAAAAATATTTATTAAAAAAAAGTTTAAAATTTTTGAATTTTAAAATATACAAACCCCACGGACAGAATATTAATAAAAGTGGAGCCATCTAAGAATGTCTCTGGTTTCCAAAGACCCCCAGTCTTGATGATATAACCATGTCTTGAGGAGCCTCCTAAATGACAGCAGGGAAGGGGTGAGCCTCATTTCAGGAGGGAGAATGTTCCACGAGGAGGGAGCCACAGCACAGAAGGCCCGTCTCCTGGGACCCACTAAATGTAAGTTCCTGGCTGTTGGAACATGTAGCATACCTTTCCCGCTGGATCTATATGCTTAGAACTCTGACAACCAAAATTGTTTGCCCAGATTCTGAGCTTTGGCTTGATTTTAATATATAGTCTATGCCTATTAACACTGGATTTATTACTTTTATTATATTGAACACTGGACTTTGACCCTGCTTGTGGTGTTCTGAGGTAAGTGGCTCTTGTGCTTGCTTTTTTAGAATATCTGCTTTGTTGGTACCTCTACACCACTAGGCAAAGTGATATTTTTTAGAATTCTTCCATTTTTGTTACCAGACAACTTTGCTTGAAGTAGTCATTTGAAATATCATCTATATTAAGTGATGACAAAAAGCTGAAGATACCAATTTTACAGTAAGGAAAAAAAGCATTGAGGGATCAGAAGAATGGATCATTAAAACAGTGCTTGTACACTGACCTTTCTGTCTCTAATGGAAGATAACCTTTGCAGAAAGTCCTTGTTTCGCTGTCCAGTTTGTTGATTAATGCAGATAACCAGACATCTGTGACATGGTCCTATAACCTGAAATTTGCACAGAAAAATCTCTGAAATATTACTCAGACAGAATGCAGGACAAACCTTAGCAGGAAGCGTCTAGCAGCTATTCTTACTAGGTTTGTGCAAAGATCACCCAACCTCTTCTAGGGCTGAATCATCAGCTCAGAAAGTAGATGCTTTGATTCAAGCCAAGGGTTAGCTTATTCTAGCTCTATCTAATAATGAGGTGTTAAAACAAACTAGATCCATTAGCACAAAAACCTTCAGGCACTTAAGAAAATAGTCTGGCACCAGTTGGTGACAGCTGGCCTGGTCCCTTCTCCCAATCCAACTACTTCCACCACATGATCCTACAAGCTCTAACTCTTTAGAGCAGGAATAGGTGATGCAATGGATGCACATGTCTGGAGGCTGCCTGGATTAGGAGAAATAGGCTCCACTCAGGCAAGACAGAATCTGGTGATTCTTGGTTAGCAGATACTACTCTTCCATATAAAGTAGGGCTGCAAGTTGGGATTCTCTTGAATTCACTGCCCTGCTGGAAAAGCAAGTGGAAATGCCCCTGATTAGAGCTGGAGGCACTGAATGTCACTCATGCCCTTGTCATCTTACACTTGGATTATTGTAATTTGCTTTACGGGAGTTGTCCTTGAAGACCATTTGGAAATTTCAGTTGGTCCAAAATGCAGCAACCCATATACTTATGTGGCAGTCTCATTACTGCCATGGAATGGAATGGAATGGGAGCTGCACTGGCTGCCACTAAGTTTCTAAATGCTATTCAAAATGTTATCTATAAAGCTCTGTATCACTCACAGGGCCATTCCCAAATAGATTTTGCCCACTCAGCCCATGCAAATAGAGAGTGCATTCTCAAGTCTCCACCTATCCTGAGGTATGACAGGTGGTGTTATGGAAGTGGGCATTCTCTGTGGGAGTTCCCCTCCTTTAGAACAACTTGCCCCCAAAACAAGGATATCCCCCATTATTGTGGCCTTTCAAAGGCTTGTAAAGACCTAGCTGTTTCAGAAAGCCTTTGGAGACTGATTGGTAGTGCTGAATGTGGGTTGGTTTTATGTAACTGTTTATATTTAATGTACATTTTAAATTTCTATTTGCATTGTTACATTACTGTTGCTCTATGGTACACCACTTACAGCAATTAAGACGGAAGCATATAATCTTACAAAGAAATAAATAAGCTCCCAGAATTTCCCTTGGTGCTCTCCAGACTCCCTGCCTAATCTGACTGTAAAGATTAACTTAATTAAAAAATTAAATAGGAAGCTGGCACATTGTAATGCACCAGCATTTTGCATTATATTTGTTTGCTATAATGTACCTGGTTCTTACCAAGTTTTCTCTTGGATGTAGAGCACCTCCTAGAGTGGGAGGAACCAGCTTGCCTTCTGATAAGTAGATGTTTTGGGGCTACATGTGAACACCATGGCAGTCATTTGGTGAAGGTGACCCTGACCCCAAAACATTGCCTACTCCTGTGATAAAGGTGGAACAGGTTGTTTGTCTATGAAAGGATAGTGATATTCATCTCCTCTGAAGACTATCTTGGCTGCCCCTTTAGTGCAACCCTTACTCTATATTCAGTACAATAAAAGATACAGGAATCTCATTTTTATTTTCTGTGATTGTAAAACCATTTGCAGAACCAAATGTTCTGCAGCATTTTCAAAGCCTCTATCGTAATTCCCCATAGTTCAGTACAAACTGAATGAAAATCCTTGATTTCTCTGGTCACTTTCCTCTTTGCCCAATCAGTGGCTGATTATCTTTCTTGAAATAAGATGTTGCAACTTCACTCCTTTGTATAGTCACAGCCTGCAGCTTACTTCTGTTTCAATTTACATCAATGAAAGTAAGAATTATTCCTTGTGAAAAGTTACTCTTGGCTTAATACCAGAGGACAAAAGGGAGAAGTAGCCTTACAACTAGAAATTGCAAATCAAGGCTGTAAGATCTCCAGGCCCTGTAGTTTCTGAGGCTATCTATTGCACAGCTTAGAAGTGGTTTATGCTGGTTCTCTCTCTCTTCAAGTAGATTCTCCCAGGACTTTTTCCTCCACAGCATTACTGCCTGTTAATAATTCCCAATTTATTTATTTTTTATCCTAGTTTGTCATAAGTAAAGACCTTTTTTTTTCATTCTGCATAGGAACCTTTTTTCTCCCTAGCAGGCTCACAGTTCTCCAGAGTGGCATATCTCAAATTACAGCTTTGAAACTTTAAAGGAAACTTTTTTTAAAAAAAAATTGATACTTGGAGACTTATAGAAGTGGAGGAAAATCAGGACTTCTTGTCTTTTATTTTTTAAAAAATAATATGTAACATTTAATCTTCAAATCTTCTTACACAAGTATACAAATGAAACTTTTCCTGAATTGCATCTAACTATGGCAAAAACATGTCATGGCTACCGCTTTTTTCTTCTGTCTTGATGCTGCCTTCATCTAATTTCCAGCTCATATCTGAGAAAGGCTTAAGTTGTCATTAGCTATATTAGTGTTAAAATAGTGTTTCCCTTTATCCCAACACGTTTTATTATGGATACAAAGTGATGTGATTCACTAACCAGTTTTCAAGGCAGTGTCAAGTGATCTTAGGGGGCAGAATCAGCCCAGCATCTATTAGCCACTGTAGGAAGGTGTAGTTATACCTTGTCTCCTCCAATTTCTGGGCACTGTCTTTTGGGTCATTCTGATTTTGGCAGCAGGAGTGTCTGATTCTTTCAACAAGGTTCTCTCCCTGAAGTTACCAGTTCTCTGAAGAGATTCCCAGCTCAGAGATTTGGATCAGACTGAATAGCAGCTGATATAACAGAACTGAAAAGAGTGCTGACAGCAACAACCAAAATGGTAAGATGGTTCAAACACTTTTCTTACAAAGAAAGCTAGTGTTTGGGACACTTCAGCTTGGAAAAAAGTAACTGAGGGAAGAACCTGACTGAATGTTTAAAATCAAGCATGGCATTTCAGGAATTTTTTTCTCTGTCTCAAAACACTGAGATCAGGGGTCATCCAATGAAATTGACCGGAAGGAGAATTAGAACAGACAGAAGAAAGTACTTCACACAGTGCATGATTAACCTATGAATTCATTACCACAGGATGTGGTGACAGCTACTAAGTTAATTGGCTTTGAAGGAGGTTTGGATAACTTCATGGAAAACAAGGCTATTGATCTTGAAGATTCAGTGTTACCCTGAGCTGGGAATAGCATGCTGTCAAATACCAGTTACAGGAGGAAATGTTTGGGGATATGTCTGTAGTTTCTATTTGTGAGCACCACAGAGGTAACTGGTTAGTCACTACGTATAAGAAACAAAATGTTGGAGTTAAGATGGGCTTTGCTTGATCCAACAAGGCTAGCTCGGACTGCAGTTTATGCAAAAGATAAAGCAAGCTGCTATTTTGATCCTTGTAGCTAGCCAATATCATTCTGTAGTATCCCTTTTGGTTTCTTGCATTGATCTTTGTTTTGTCTTGTCTCAGTAAGCTTTGCAACTACAAATGAGAGCTGCAGCCATTCCATACCCTGAAATGTAGAGGACCAATGGCAATCTGATCCCACAAGTCTTCTTCAAATGGTTCATTTGTTCTGATAACAATGTTGGCCCGGAATCGATAAATTAATTCTTGAGGAAGAAATGATTCACCTAGGCTGTTTCAGAGAGACAAACAATAAAATAATAGTTAAGACTAATTCAAATGATACATTATAATTTTAGTTTAGTTAACTTAGTAGAATTATAGTCCATTATTTAAAATGTAATAGAGACAAAGATACAAAAACCTAATTATCAAAATGAAAAATAGTAATCTTGGACAACAGTTGCAATGCAGAGGTATAGTTACAATGAAAAAATCCACACGCAAATACAAAAAGAAAGTTTTAAATTGTCTAATTTAAATTAAATTGTCTGAATCCTCTAATGCAAATTCTATTATAGAATAATAATAATAATAATAATAATAATAATAATAATAGAATAACTTTATTGTCATTCTACTATGCACTATACACCAAGTGCATAATAAAATGAAATTCTGTTGCAGTTGGCTCACTATTACAATTACAATTCTACTCACAATATGAGTAGAAAGACAAATTTTACTATCAATTATAGTAGGAAAATTCCAAGCGGACAACTACTTAAACTCATTTTGTGTGTGTGTGTGTGTGTGTGTGTGTGTGTGTAGCAGCTGGATAGTGAGTGGTTGGAGCATCGCCCTTTGATGCAGGAGATCAGGATTTAAATCCTGGCTGGTACCTACCTTACCAGTAGAGGTCCCCGGGCAAAGACCTTGCCTACCTCAAATATGAGAGAGACATGAACTAAGAGAGTCATGCTGGCTTGGACATTGCCCAAATTAATAAGGTCTACCCCAGATGTTGGGGAACCAGGACAATCTGACGATGTGGGCTACTGGAGCGAACTATACATGGATGAGACAAGAGAACCTGGAATTGATGGGATGCTACAACAGTAAACCTAATGAGAGGGGGATATATGAAACATATGAGGGAATTATGGACGGACAGAAGAGTAACTAACTCAGAAACAGCTAGTTGCCCGACGCTTCAACATAGTGAAGAGGAAGTTGCTCTCATAAGTTGAGATAAATCAACTACACATTACTTCCTGGACTCAAGAAGACCCTGAAGCTTCCACCCCCTCCATTACAGAGCACAGCAGCTGATATGAGGCATAAGATCATGGATGAACTAGCTACAGTCAACCCACAAGACCAATTACCAAGGCTCAGTGGAGAAGTACAATCAGATAGTATGCTAGAAGATGCCAGTAGAGCTCTCATGACAATCCCTACTACCACCATATCTCAAACTAATGAACTGGTATCCCTACTACCACCATAACTCAAACTACTGAACTGGTATATGCTACAGCTGCTGCAATCCTGGAGAAGCTTGGCTACACAATCAAGAATAGCAGTACATACTCTCCCTGGAAAATGAGGCTGGAGGCTAAGATCAAGGCAACTCAGAGAGAAGTTAGTCAGCTGGTGGAACTACAGAAGGGTGTGGAGATTAAGGATAAGACTCAGCTACTGAAAAAATACAAGAGTTTGGCTCCATCTGAAGCCCTAGAGACTGCTAACTAAAGGCTCACAGCATTGGCTGCCAGGCTAAGGAGATACACTAGAGAAGCAGAGTCCAGGAAAATAAATGCCTTGTTCTCCAAAGAACCATCCAAGGTATGCTCCCAACTGCAGGGCAACAACACAGTAACAGCAGAGCCACCAGCAGCAGAAACTGAACAGTACTGGAAGAACCTATGGGAGAAAGAGAAAACATATAACACCAGTGCTGCAGGACCTGAAAGCAGACCACAGCAATCTCCCAGAACAGGAACCAGTCACCATCACAGTAACAGACATCCAACAATGAGATGAAGAGCTGGGACTTCTGGTGGAGGACAATATGGAAGAAGGTCCCTCTGGCTGAAGTTCCTCTGAAGCTGGAGTGTTAAACGTGGTTAATTAGGTGTCTCAGTAATTTTTTCCAAGACACAAAGCATTCTCTGGGCAAGGGGAAGCCATCGAATCGTGCCACGTGTCTTCCTGACAGCTATACCTTATCAAACGAATGCAGGTCGCGAACAAATGGTGAGCAATCAGCTGGGAAATGGGCGGAGTAGCTTGTCAGTGCTGCGTTTAAAGCCACTTCAAAGAGACATTACTTCCGGCCACCCCACCTCTAAAATCACTTTTGTTGTATGTTATTTACTGAATTTAAAGAGGCTATCTCCACTACAGAAATATTTCTTCTCTTGGTTGGTTTTTCATTTTTTGGGATTTCTAAAATGAGTTGTATTGGATTAGAAGGATTGAAATACAAGCATGAAGTCTGGAAGCTTTAATGTTTTGTAGGACGTTTTCTACATTTTCAGGAGACTATTTTTATCTATATTTTATTTTTGCTTTTAAAAAGGAAGAATCTATTTATTTATTTATTTATTTTGTGGAATTGAGAGAGATCTATTTTTAAATGCTGTGGGAAAGTTTTGGTTTGGCGATTTTCTCAAGTTATGATTGGCTGCAGATTCGACCCTCTTTTGTTTTGTTGCTAGTTTGCCAAAAATCTGCCAATTTTTCCAAGCTGTAATTGGCTGCTGATTTGGCCCCCCCTCATCTTGCAGTTTGTTGTGGCTATCCAGTTATTGAGAGATAAAGAACTTTGTTTAAGGTCCAGGGAAATTTCTGAGATTAAAGAAGAACATTTAATAAATATGATGGATGAAATAGAGAAATGCAAGAAAGCAAAATGGCTGTCTGATGAGGCATTACAAATAG